AATTGGTATGTGCTAATTCACCTGAGGTTTGTGGCCAGAGAATAGCACTAGCTTGTTCATCTGAAATAGTAAGAGTTTCGGCAGATTCTATTAAGGCTCCAGCCTTGGCCAAAAAATCTTCCATGGCTGCCACAAAAAAATATTCCAAAAGAGGGATAGTTCACTGTTTAGTTGATAATCCGTGAGGGGGTGCGCATAGAGGTGTAGCAAACACCAACAATTCTATAAAACATAGTAATGGCACTCACCCTTGCTTCTATGAAAAATAATAGAAACTGTGCCTTGGTGCAATCCCATGCTTATTCATAGTAAGGTTAGAAAGAAGGATGCACTCAAAGGTCTCTTAGCAAAAGGTAGTAGTATTTAATCCATAAAAGGTTTACAAATAACTTGATCGACGTTTCGACCCAATAGGGTCTTCCTCAGGATCAATATGTAAACATAAAACCTACATATATATAGAAAAACATAAAGTGTACTCACCAATTGTGTTAGAGTTCCCTTATATATATATATATATATATATATATATATATATATATATATATATATATATATTATTTATAAGATATTATGTGCTGCTGCTTGTGTATTGCTGGGAGAAGAGTAGAGAATAGTCAGGATCGATCCTGGGGAGGGGCATGGAATGAAATATGCCCAGGCGCCAGAAGGTGGTACACACTGCGAGGAGCTAACAAATGGACGGTGTCACGGCTGCTAGTGTGGTCCAACATGCAGAAACTATGTAAACAAATACATACAAAAGGAAAGGAAATAAAAGGACAGAGCATAAACCGGACCTTAGAATGGCCGGACTAATACGCTAGAGATAGAGAATGGTCAAAGGGAAAGCTGAGGTCAAGGAAGCCAGAAATACTAAGATACCGTTTAAACAAGCCAAGTCAGGGGAACCAGAATTCGGAATAACCAGGGAAAAGCCAAGATCAGGATACCAGGAAGTAATATTCACAAAGATAAACGCACTCTAGGGAACCAGGAACAGGAAACCACGACAGGGCAAGGTACTGGGGTGAATTAAGGATTTAAATATCCCTCTCTAGGCTCTGATTGGTCAGATGGTCACCTCTGACCCCAGAACGTGCGCGTGCGTTGACGTCGTGACGTCACGCGCACGTTCGTATAATTTTGGGGGTGGAGCCATGGATGGACGCGACCTCATGGTCAGCGCCATCTTGGACTTCCCTGAGCGGCGTGGAGGAACGGTTCCCGGCTCGCCGCTGAGCAGGTAAGCTCAGTGAGTTGGTGCGGTCGTGCCGGTCGGGCACGGACGCATATAGCGGCGAGCCGGGGACCATGACACAGAGGGCCCAAGAGTTGGCTGGACCGCTGCCTTAAGGCACCTCCGAAGCGGGCACAGCACTTATTCATTAAGACAGAGTAGGCACCTGCTTACCCCACATGGGAGGTGTCTACTCTGCTGATAGACACCAGAGGGAAGGCAGGTGGGTGCGGTGAAGGAGTGCTGACATGTTTCCAGCTCATCTCTGCTCCCTTGCGCTCCCTCTGTAGTGATGCTAGGAGCCTGAATATGATGTCACTCTGGCCCCTGCATCAATATAGAGAGAGTTCAAAGGAGCAGATAGCAAATGAAAGATCCATTCCCTCTTGGACCCCAGGGAGAAGATCTCCACTGGACCCCAGGGAGAGGACCTAAACTAATAAAATCTTTCAACATTGAAGTTGCTGTTTAGTGGATAGGTGAGTGCACTGGATCTTGTGTTTATATATATATATATATATATATATATATATATATAGACTGATCATGCAAAAAAAAAAAAAATCTTATATTGAGGGATAGTGATCATATGAAGCCATTTATTATAACATAGTTGTTTGGCTCCTTTTTAAATTATAATAAGAACAGAAATTACCCAAATGGCCCTGATCATAAGTTTACATACCCTGGAATGTTTGGCCTTTTTACAGACACACAAGGTGGCACACACAAGTTAAAATTATAATTAAATGTTCATTTCCCACACCTGCGGCTTTTTAAACTGCAATTATTGTCTGTGTATAAATAGTCAATGAGTTTGTTAGCTCCCATATGGATGCACTAAGTATATCCTTGGAACCGGGGGATCTGGGTGAACCACATATCCAAAATTGTTAAAGGTAACAAGGCTGGATGAACTAAAAATAAATCCACAAAAAATAAAAATTAATTTGTGAGTGTTTATGCAAGAATGTGTGATGTTTCTGTTTGTGTCTGTCAGTGAGTGCATCTGTCAGTGAGTCTGGCAGTCTCTGTGTGTGTCAGTCAGTCAGTTGTCTGTGTGTCTGGTAGTGTGTTTCAAATTAGTTAGTGTATGTATACCAGTAAGTGTGTGTGTATGTGTGTGTGTGTGTCTGTCAGTGGGTGGTTCAAATTAGTGAGATTGTCTGTCATTGAGAGTCTGTCTGTGTATCTGTCAATGAGTGTGTCTGTCTGATTAAAAAAAATGGATGTGGCTTATATATGGAAAGGTGGTGTCTCTCTGCCATAGAACCATGCATGTCTGGACTGTACATCTGCAAAGCGAAGGAGTTAGTAAGATAACCACATCCACCTGGGAACACCAAAAAAGTTTCTACACCCAGACGTCTGTGACCTTAGGATCGGCCTTGAGTAGAGTTAAAGGGTCAAACCAGTTTCCTAAACAACTTTAGCTTGCCGAAAAGCTTTATGTGTGAAGAGTGTGTCCTCTTTTTCATTTTGCATAAAGTGCAGATTTCAGTAGAAATTTATACCTTAATACATTAACCTTGTTACACCCCCCTTGGATTTCAAACAGACAACAGGTAATGTTACTTCCTGGTTTGCCTAGCTCAATGCAGCTGACCTCAAGAAGCAGCAATTGTTCAGAGCAACTGACTAGGAAGCCTGTGATTTGGACAGCCACAGAAAGTCTGGTGGGGGGGATAGAAGGGGAGAGCTTGCAAAGGCAGCAGACATGAGATTTGCAGGTTTTGAAAGCTGGTTTTAGATATATCCCCAATGAAAAAAATTAAAATGAAATACATTTAAGTTTTAATTTTGGTATATGGGTACCAAAAAACGTGGTTTGTATTTATTTTGTGTTTGGGTCTTTAAGCATTTATTGCAGTTAAAATTACAGAAAAAGGCCATTTTAGTACTAAAATAGTACTCGACTCTAATGCGCTATCATATTTTGGAGACTTTACTTTGCCAATAAAGGTGTGCATTGGATTCAAGTAAATATGGAATATTTTCTTTGAGGATTTTCAAGATTATTTATAATTATACAGTACAATAATAGGTAACCCTGTTTCCCAGGCTGTTGCGGCTCCCGGCCCGCCGCATGGCGCAGCCGTGCCCGACCGGCACGGCCTCGCCGACATCACGAGCTTACCTGCTCGTCGGCGAGCCGGGAACCGCTCCTCCGCGTTCTCTGGGCGTCGCGCCCAAATCAAAGATGGCGCTGACCACGTGGTCACGTCCATCTCAAGCTCCGCCCCTCAAAATAATACGAACGTGCGCGTGATGTCACGACATCAACGCACGCGCACGTTCTGGGGTGAGAGGTCACCCTCTGACCAATCAGAGCCCAGAGAGGGATATTTAAATCCCTAATTCACTCCAGTTCCTTGCCCTGTCGTGGTTTCCTGTTCCTGGTTCCTGAGAGTGCATTTATCTTTGTGTATCTGACTTCCTGGTATCCTGATCTTGGCTTTTTCCTGGTTATTCCAAATTCCGGTTCCCCTGACTTGGCTTGTTTAAACGGTATCTTAGTATTTCTGGCTTCCTTGACCTCGGCTTTCCCTTTGACCATTCTCTATCTCTAGCGTATTAGTCCGGCCATTCTAAGGTCCGGTTTACGCTCTGTCCTTCTATTTCCTTTCCTTTCTTATGTATATGTTTACATAGTTTCTGCGTGTTGGACGACACTAGCAGCCGTGACACAGGCATAGAAGAACAGTGTGGCTGCACTAGTTTATGGAGAGAATTTAGCAATGCAAATAATGTATTAAAATATTTTGTTAAATAATTTGTGGATTATGTGTATTATCAGCCACAGCATTAAAACCACCTGCCTACTATTGTATAGGTCCCCTTGTGCTGCCACAACAGCTTTAATGCATTGAGGTATGGACTCCACAAGACCTCTGAACAGGTGTATCTAGCACCATAATATTAGCGGTAGTTAAGGCCTCCATGGATCAGATTTTTTGTTCCAGCACATTGAAACAGATGCTCAGTCGGATTGAGATCTCAGAGATTTGAAGGCCAAGGCAACACCTTTGTCATCTTTCTCAAACCATTCCTGAACACCTATTGCAGTGGGCAGAGTGCATTATCTCGCTGAAAGAGGCTACTCCCATCAGGAAACACCACTGACATGAAGGGATGTACCTGGTCTAGGTGGTAAGTGTCAAAGTAACATCTACATAGATGCCAGGATCCAAGGTTTCTCAGCAGAATTTTGCCCATAGCACAACATTGTCTCCACTGGCCTGCCTTGTTCACATAGTGTATCGTGCTACAATTTCTTCCCCAAATAAACAACACACATACACCCTGCCATCCATGTGATCTAAAAGAAAATGTGATTCATCAAACCAGGCAACTTTCTTCGATTGCTCCAATGAGGCACCTTCGGACAGGTGTCACCATGGGCACTCTTAACTGTCTGCGGCTATGCAATCTATAATTAGCAAACTGTGATGACACCTTCCTATTATGGCCAACATTAGTTTTTTCAGCAATTTGATTAATGAGCATTGGGCATTAATGATGCAGTTGCCGTTCACAAGTTGTCCTTCTTTACACCCCGTTTGATAGGTACTAACCATTGCATACCGGGAACAACCCACAAGACTGACAATTTTGGAGATGCACCAGCCCAGTCACTGTTTGGTTTGTCAATGTATCTTGCCCATGAATGAATAGAGGAGACCCTTGAAACAAGGGGATCCCAGAGGTAGCTCTGAACACACAGGAAAAGCAGTATAGTTCCCAGATAATAGGGAAGGGGGGTCACATATGAATGGGTGAAAGGATGGAGAAGGTGGAAGGGAATAAGCAAAAAAAAAAAAAAAAAACCCTATCTACACCTTATACCCCCCCACAGCTTGCTATCTAATACTACAGCTGTGGGGGGTGGGGGGGAGGGGGGCATAAGGTGTAGATAGGGTTTTTTTTTTTGCTTATTCCCTTCCACCTTCTCCATCCTTTCACCCATGCACTATTATCTGGCAACTATACTGATTTTCCTGTGGGATCCCCTTGTTTCAAGGGTCTTGTTCATTTCTTCTTTGGGTTACCCCCTATCATGTAGCTCTGAGGTAGGCTACTTATAAGATAGATTCCACTTTTTCACATGTTATTGTGATTGTGTGGATCTATCTTTCTATTTTTTCTTGTATCTTGCCCATGTCTCCTGCTTCCAACTGAACTGACTGTTCACTTTCTCCTTAGTACATCCCACCCACTTTAATGTTGTGGCTGATCAGTGTATACTGCTATAGTTACTATAGCTTTCATTTAATGTTGAAGAAACCTAACCAAACAAAAATAACCAAACTACCTTGTTGTATTCATAGTGCCAAGGCAAACAAAATGAACCAAGTGGTCCAAACCTAGCCACGTGATACTTGGTTGTAGTTTTATTAAATGTAAAAAAAAAAATGTACTTTATGTAAACAATTTTTGTAGCCAGACTTACATGAAGGAATCTGACTGCTTAGAATACTTGCTTAAATACCCTAATATCACTACCAAAAAGAAGCAATATTTTTTCTAGATTTGCATCTACAAATATAGCAACTAGCTTATAAATTCAATATTTATGACAGTTGCATCTATAGATATAAAAACGTTGTATTATCACTAGTGACTAAGTGCTAACAGCAAACAATTATTATATGACATGATTGGTACCTTCTCACCATGATCAAAAGAACATTGTACTCTGGTAATTTTAGTTAATTCCTACACAGTGCATGGTGAGCAGAGGATAAACTAAAGGAATCTGTAATGTTACAAGATAAAGTATGCAATATCAGCCAAGTAAGCAGATGTGACTATTGAACGTCTAAAGAACAATTTTGTCTCACTACTTAGAAAAGCTGCTATTAAATCAATTGCTTCTGAATTGTGTTCTGTAGCACAAAGTACCCACAATCCTCTGGGGTTTCATTTGAAGGCCAATCAATAGGGTTTCTAATAGAGTGGCTATTTGAGTTTTATTATTGGTTTACAGAGTCCCAAACTTATTTAAAAAGATAATGGTGTCATAGGAGCAGTATGAGGCAGGCTAACGCCATCTGCCAAGATGGTATCTGAAATCACTATATTGCAGTTTAACATGGGAGAGAATTGGACTAATGACAGTAATGTATTTAATGGAATACATCTTGCAAGTTGTAGATTTTTTTTTATACATAAGTATTCTGTGTTGAAAGTCATTCTTACTTTGCTTTTAACTGTTAGAGTAATAACCGATATATATATCCAGACTTAGAAGGTTTTGATATGAAATAGATAATGCTATTAAAGGAAACACCAGAGATGTGAATTATTAATTTATTTTCATATTCTTTGTATTGTACTGATTTAAATAAAAAAAATAAAAAAAACACCCATCAACATAAGTAATCAAATGCAAGAAGATTGTCCACATAGACCGTTAAATACATTGATATTTTATATAAATATATGAAGAAAATTAGTGTAAAAGAGAACAGAACAGGAAGTCTTCCTGCTGCTCGCTTTAGTTCAACTGGAACATTTTGACATTATATTTTGGGAGTAGAATACAATTTATTCATTTTACTAGATGATGCAGATATTAGCCCAGTCAAAAATATGGAAAAAGCACATGAAGGAGCAGTAAGATGCTTGGTGTTATAAAGCCTTGACAACTTACACCCTCAGTACTGCCCATGCACTCATAAGCACCCATGATGTTGGAGGAAAATGAGGGGATTTATGGGTAAATGGAAAATGAGAGAACATATAGTACAGAAGCAATGCTTTATGTCTCTCCAATGCACATATATACAGTATAAGCCAATAGATAGGAAGGGGACAGATGGGAAGAAAAAAACAAGTAATACCGGCCCAATATCACAGTGCCACGAAAATGTGGAGGATGCCATAACTCTCTTGTGGTGATAGGAAAGACCTGAAGATCAACACACTGATCATGCTTCCTGATCCAACAACCCACATAGTGTGGACGGAGAGTGGGTAGCAAGACAAAAAACCATTCCACTCTTGATATTTCTTAAAAAGTAATGGCTTTTAATTTGTCACAACCTGGTGTTGGTGTCAGCATCCCTTACAGGGTTATTCAATAAAGTGATAATTGTCTCGAATTCAGAGTCAAAATAGCTGAAAAGGAATTATAGTGGACTGGAGATTTTTTTTTCAGTTTGGCTATTTTGGCCTTAACATTTAATTTCACTTTGAATTACTGACAATACTCAATTCAGTAAATAAGCCTGTTACAGTTTGTGGCGGGACACCGCCACTAAGTGCCATGCCCGCTGAGTGTTCAGATGTTTGATTTTTTATTTTGTGCCCACACTGTGTATTGTTATGATTTTCCCTTGTTGAATATGTATTTCCCCTTGTATTTTTATACTGTATAATGTATTTTACTTTTTAGCCACGCGGGGGCACTCCTGCGCACGGAGCCCCGTGCGCCTGCCCACCCGATACTCCATTTAGAATTTCAAGTGGCACATGCTTCCCCTGGGTGGCCGCCGGTTCATAAAGCTGAACGTCACCGGGGGCAGCATTCGTATCCCAAACCGGCCTGCGAAACCCTGTCTTCGGTCCCCGTGTCAGAGACTGTCCTACCCTCCCCCCAACGGAGCTATAATCACTAGTTCCTTTCCCCTACCTGGCAGCTATGAGGCAAGACTCGTTTCTGCCCAGGAGAGCGCTCTCTCCGGTGGACACCTGTGTGGGTCTCACGGCCGCAGAGTTCCCGCTGACCGCATGGAAGTCCGTACCGACCAATGGGAGAAGGAGCGCCTTTTCAAATGGGTTCGTGCCATTCTCTGGTTGGTCGGCATGAGTAAGCGCTGATTGGTCGCCGCAGAGAGCAGGCAACCAATCGGAGGAGCGCTCATTCAAACGGGGTTTGGCTATCTTCGGATTGGGCGGCGAAACTCCTTCCTCCCCTGAATGGTGATAGCGCAATTTGGTTTGCGCCCTTTCAGCTGATTGGTTGTTGCTTGGTTTGGGTGCGATATTTGAATCTGCTGGACTAAACCTAGCAACACCATGGAACTAATTTCGGGGATGTACAGAGCCTCGAGCCCCAGACTTTCGGCGCTGATATTACGGGGTCTGTATATCCGTTCGCCACACTTTTTGCTGGGATCCCAGATGGGACCCGGGGCTATCTAGCAATGTAAGTTTCAACCCTGGAACCCCTTCCCTTCCAGGGACGCCGAGCCCCAAAGTGTAACCTTCCGTGAATGTAATATGGTTCAATGTGTATTCCTGTGTACTGTTTGGTATCTTGCAGGGCGGGAGATGGCAATCTATAACCCAGCCCCCTCCTGCCTGGGACTAAGGGAAGTGTTTGTTTGGAATGGAGACCCCCTGTGGGGGTCTGTGCATAAAAGAAGCCTGTGTTCAATAAAGAGTGGGTCAGTCAGTGCTTAAACCTCCAAAACCGTGTGTCGTCCTGTTATTGGAGGGAAGGAAGATTTAACCCTTGGGAGCGCATAGAGCGAAGTCCCCATACCATGTAAGAGTTTCTGATCAGCTGAAGGAAGGGAACTAACGGGAGGTAACTGGTCGCGTTACCGGAATAGGTCCCATTACACAGTTGTTGCATTTTTATGTTATATTCCCCCCTAAAGTAAAAACTGGCTCTGCATATGAGTGCAGCTGTATTGTTGCTATTTTCCTACAGATTTTTTTGAGATGGGATTTGATAATCTTATCATTATGCCTTCATAATGCCATTTATCAAGCGCCAAAGACAGTCTATTCTTAAAAGAATAGATGTTGAATTTAAAAACTCTACTCCAGTTTTCCCTGGTTCTGTGTGGAAATGGTCAGATCCAATATATCAAGCAGTTTAATGACACTGTGATAGGATCATTGCAGTTTTAATTTTCTGGTAGTAAAAACATTTGTTTCTAGCCGCACAGGCAGTCAAACAATTACTGATTCCGAGTCATTACACATGGGTCATTACAAGATTTTATAAAATGAGGAACCATCCCCATTTATAAGACTCTCTGTGTATTTGGATATAATAATCATATTAGGTAGATGTTATGATAAGGGATATGTTAATGCTCTATTAAACTGCCTTCCTTATTGTGGAAGATTGCTAAAAATGATCTTTCTATCTAAACTAATTGAAGCCAATCAGAAAGTAAATGCTGATTGCATCAAAGGCAATGTAAGGGATGTGGTAGACTAATTAAAATTCAGATCTCTACGGTTTTTCAAATGTCTGAGTAATAATGGGTATATATTGTCACAATTATGTCTATATAATACACAATTTTAGAATGTCAAATTTATTTTCGTATTTACTTGGGTACACACAGAAAATACTGTGTTTCAAACAGGTTCCCCCATTGACGTGACATCGCTGGTGAAAGAGACTGATCCAGCACCGAGGGACCATGGCACTGGAAAGAGGTAAGTGTAAAAATAATTTGTATCCCCGTTTATTCAGTGGGGTGGTCTATATTAATAGAGACAGGGACACTATAGCATTAGGAATACAGTTTTGTATTCCCAACGCTATAGTGTTCCTTTTAATGTTTGCAGAGAAACCACAACAGGCCTTTTTCAATGTACAAAGGCCCTCCAGGATGGTTTATTTCAGCCTTATTTTATAGATATATAAAAATGTTGGTATTGCTTGGTTTTTGTAACAAGCTCTCTAGAAAAAAAAAAAATAGTGGTGCATTTCTCATTATAGCAGAGAATGAAGTATGTAAGTCTTTGGTTGCCTGAAAGGTTACAATGAAAGCCACATTTTTTGAGCGTGACAAGTGGTTGTTTAAAAAAATAAAAAAAGGTTTATGTTGGGTCTGTAATAATGGGCAATGTAAATGGGTAAATTCTTGTTAATTTATTGTAAATTCAATCTGATTTTTGTTGCCTTAAGCGGTTGCCAGAAATGCCTGGACATAACAGTTTCAAAACTGAAAGAAGCAAGGTGTCTGTCTAATGTAAGTAAGTCTCCAATTCATATCTTCATTTAACAATGC